TGCTGATTATAAATAAATGGGGAAAGGAAGTGATGACAGAAAATAGATCAAATAGATTATGCCCCAAAGTTCTTTCCAGTCAATATTACGTAAAGCATTCCCTCAACTGACAAACAGATATTAATCACCAGCATTGCTTGTCCATAAAAGTGTATTTAACTACGCCGCACTGGCCCATAAATGTGTTACATGAAGTAGATGTTATGGTGATGTTGTATAAAAGTTTTTGTCCACAGGCCTTTGCATTAAACCGAGGCATAAATCACTGCACTTGGCGACAGGAGATTGTAAATATTTCATTTTCTGTTAGTATTGTGGATCTGAGATGCCTCAAAGTTAAATAACAAACTACAAGTGCACTGTGACCTCCCAATGGAGCTGTTTCCAGGCACAGACGTGCGATTTCTACAGTGCAACATGATGATGTCACTGGGTTTATTTGGGTCTGAGGTCAGTCATTCATAACAACACATCCCTGACTGACAGGCCATAATGCTCCCGTTTACTGGGTAACATGCCTGGATGCCATAAGAAAGATGCACAAAAATAAAACATCCACAATAAATGCTTTTACATTTTTAAAAAAATGTATACGATTCTAACAAACTAACATACATTTTGTTAAATGTTTAATTTATTGTTAATTAAAAAATAATTATAACAAAAAGTTATAATATTAATAATATTGTATTATTGTTGCTTAAAAAAAGATATAACAGATCACATGGCGGCAACTCATTTATGCATGTAGACAAGGTCAAGACAATCTGCTGAAGTTTAAACCGAGCATCAGAATTGGGAAGAAAGGTGATTTCAGTGACTTTGAACTTGGCATGGTTGTTGGTGCCAAACGGGCTGGTCTGAATACTTCAGAAACTACTAATCTACTGGAATTTTCACGCACAACCATCTCTAGGGTTTACAGAGAGTGGTCTGAAAAAGAGAAAATATCCAGTGAGCAGCAGCCTTGTTGATGCCAAAGGACAGAGAATGGCCAGATTGGTTCCAGCTGATAGAAAGGCAACATTAACTCAAAAACTACTAGTTATAACCAAGGTATGCAGAAGAGCATCTCTGAACACACAACATGTCGAACCATGAGGAGGATGGGCTACAGCACCAGGAGTACCTCTCCTGTCAGCTAAGGACAGGAAACTGAGGCTACCATTCACACAGGCTTACCAAAGATGACATCAACAACATGAAAGCATCAATACATCCTGCCTTGTATCAATGCCTGGTGGTGGTGTAATGGTGTGGGGGATATTTTCTTGACACTCTTTGGGCCCATTAGTACCAGCTGAGCATCGTGTCAACAACACAGCCTTCCTGAGTATGGTTGCTGACCATGTCCATCTTTTTATGACCACAGTGTACCCATCTTCTGATGGCTACTTTCAGCAGGATCAGGAGATTCGCATCATGCATGTTCAGCCGACAAATCTGCAGCAACTGTATGTTGCTATCATGTCAGTATGAACCAAAATTTCTGAGCAATACTTCCAGTACCTTGTTGAATCTAAGCCACAAAGGATTAAGGCAGTTCTGAAGGCAAAAGGGGGTTCAACCCGGTACTAGTAATGTGTACCTAATAAAGTGTCCGATGAGTATGTATATATATATATATATATATATATATATATATATATATATATATATATATATACTTTTTTATTTTATTTTTTTAGCTGGAGTGACGTAACAGAGCTCAAGCTGATTTCAGACAGACCACTAATGTCACCTCTATCAGTTTACACTCAGCTGATCAATTTCTCCAACTTTTCCAAACCGACTACCATATTTAAGCTCATTGAGACACATCAGTTTGACTCAAAGATAATGCTACCACCTCAACCCCTTCCCCTCCCAGCAACCCCATAACAGCCTGGATTTTGTATAACTATTATGTCACTGTCACTGTATCTGTCAGTCACATTTCTGCATATTTGTGCAGCTAAAAATGCTGGGTTAGACTGGAGTATTCAGACCTTAAGGATTTACAGTAGGCCAATCTTAAACTGTCAAGCCAGGCCACAAATCCCATTAAAATTAACCAAATTCCAGAAATGCCAATAAACGTATTTTTTTCAAAATGTGGACACAAACACATTTGCATAGTGTAAAAGCAATTTTTGCTTAATGGTCATGTCAAATTTTACATTTTTAGCAATTTTAAGGAAGATTTTGCGGAATTTAATTAATGAATTATTCATTATTAATATCTGATTATTATTACTTGATGGTGACACCACATTACACTCTCAGTGTTAACTTCTAAATAAAACCAACATGAATACTTACATTGTGTTTTGATTAAAAAGCACATTTTATTATGCTAGATGCTAGATTTATACACATTTTTGCATCTACTTAATCATTGATTCTGTGTGTTTTTGTGTGTATCCATGCATACTTACATAGAGAGCTTATTTGAAATTAAAGAGAGAGTCTGTTAGGCTAAATGACCTTCATGCAGTAAAAAAGCGAAATCGTTTACAGTTCAGTCCAATACACTGTTGCTGAACCAATATGCCCTTCAGCCCTGTAAAGACACCATATGTTATTTGAAAGTAGAGCAGCCCTGTTATGTCAGAGTCTTACACTTAACAGTAGATCTGGCCATATGTCCACTTCCTATAACATACTTCAGTTTTTAAAAGTCCAGTACAAACCACCAGGATTTATCATTTGTCTGTATGTTCAAAACTCACATGCCTCTTGATGTCACTGGTTTTCTAGCATTATGACCCATGGGGAAGTCTTTCCAAAATACACCACAGAGGATAACAGCCACAAAGTGAACCACTAATAAATAAATAGACTTGTGAAAGCTAGTGTAAATCCTTTGTTATTGGCTGTTCAATTCGCTGTAATACCTTTCAAGTCGGCCAGGAACATTCTGACATTTGACGAGCAGCTGAACTTCATTAAGCACATCGCAAAAACCAGCTGATCATGGAGATTTGCACAATACCACATCTATCCACACTGCACAATTCATTGCGTCTTGTTATCTCTGAGAATGAATGAACTACATAAAAGTGGAACTTTATATTCATTTATTCATCATAATGTAAAATGTAATATGCTAACTAGGCAATATATGTTGAGAAGCATATATATATATATAGTCCAGCACAACTAACATAAAAAGACTGTTGTAACACTTTAGTAAAGGGACCGATTCTCACTATTAATTGGTAGCTTATCACCTGCCTATTTTTAAACTATTAGTGTTTTTAGTACTTATCCCCCGCCCACCCCAAATATTATAAGTGTCCAAAAGTACTAAATATGTTCATCTAGAGCAGTTTGATTGTAAATAAATAGTTGAAACGGTCAGTAATATGTATTTTTATAATAATAAAAATAATAATTATTATTATATTTTATTATTATTACTTACAAAAGATAGAAAAATAGTATACCTGAAAAAAATTGCAAAGTTTAGCCTATTCAAATTAATAGCTATTATAAAGAAATTGATTCAAGTTATCAAATTTAATTAACTTTTTCTTCTCTGTATAAATGATTAAAGAGCTCATTGTTGTTGTTTTTTTTTTTTTTTTTTTTTTTTGTGAATCCAACAGAGGCTACCGTGAAGGTTTTTGAGAGTTTCTCTTGAGAGTGCTATTTTTGCCTGCTGTTTTTGCGTAAATCCACCAGAGGCCACTGTTGACTGTCTGATTAAATCACTGACTGACTGACCGATCAACTGACTCCTCCTCCCCTAAACCCAACCAATAGTGTTTTTTTTAAACACAGATTGAACCCAACAGTTTTAAAAAGCAATCCAGAAAAAGAAAAGCCCTTGCCAGATTTTAATACTGTTTTATTAAGTTTTATTCACAGTTTTGTAATTTTTAGTTTTTTTTTTTTATCTGCTTTCTGAACTCCTCTTTACATCTCAAGTCTGCCGACATACTTGGCAAGCTACTGGACAAATTGGTAACAGTGTTAAACGGAACTGGTTTACCATCCCATAGCATTCATTTTAAAGATGAAATAAAGTACATGTAAATCCATACATACTTTTGGCTGCATAATTTGCGATCTTCAGAAATGTACATAGTCTAAAAGTTAAGAATGAGCATGTTGAAGACTTTCAAAACAAACAAACAAAATAATAATAATAATAATAATATTAATAATAAATTTAAAATAAAATTAACATTTTAAATTGTCTTAATAAAATGAATGTTAATTCTCAGGTATTTTTTCTAAATTAAATTTAAGATTTCTTAAATTAATATTCATTTTCATATAAAAAATGATATCAATCTATAAATCATCTAAAATAAGCTAAATGTTGTGATGTTTATGTATTTACTTCTAGTTTTTTTTAAGTAATGGATTTTAGTATTTAGTGTTTTCATTTCTGTTATTTAGACAAAACAGCATATGTTAAGAGACCAATTATTTTTACTCAGCCAGTGCATGGAGAAAAATATACAGAAAAGTGGAAGTTTATATTAAGTTGCCATATCGTAAGAAAAAATGCTTTTGTTTGAACATTTGAGTTAGTAGTCTTTGGTTAGAAATGTCTTTGAAAAAAGTACATGCAAATGACTCAATTATCAGTAGAAATCAGAGCTTTAGACTTGGGGCAATGAATGTTCACTGATTTCCCTGTGGGAGATAATAATAATAAAAAATAAAATAATAAAAACCAAACGTGCAAACCAATAAGCACAAACGAGAACAATGGAAACATCCTCCTCCTTTGATATCTCCTAACGTCACTCAGAAGAGAACAAAATATACAACCACAAGTGGGCGAAAGGAGGAACAGCACGTCACAAGAGTTTTCCTCCCACTCTCCAGAACTTCTTTGTTTTTCGAAAAGTTCCTTAATAACAACCGTCAAAGGGATTTTTAAATTCAGAACCATTTAGAAGACAAGAAACAACAGACAAACTCAAATACTGAACACACACACAGAATGGAAAGGTTATCAAACGGACACCCAAACGTCCCTTTGCGCTTTACTGAGTGTGTACCTGTAGGCCATGCCAGTCCTGGCTCGGACAGTATCCTGCAATGAGAGTGTGTGCACGTTGAGAAACTCCTCCAGGTGCTTTAGTTCTACCTGAGAGCTGGAACGCAGACACACCAGCGGAGGATAGAGTTTGCCTCCAGCATTTTGCTTCCCACAGCGACTCGAACCTTTTTCCTTTTGTCCACCCTTCTGTTTCGGAGTAGGGATATCAGGACAAGTGGCTTTGTACAAGTACATCTCTCCCAGTCACGTCCATACACTGTCCAGAACAGGCCCTCAGGAAACAAAGTTCTCCCGTTCTGTCAAAACAACCTGGACGTCCTCTTTCAGTCAGGTTATTTTTTTTCCAGAATCACGTTTAGCTAGTTGAAATCTTCTGGCTCAATCGGTCTCTCTGTCTTGTTAGTCACACATCTGAGTGCAGTCAATCCACTCTGAGTTTTACTCTCTAATAAACACCATGGGAATCTGGGACATTTTCCCTGCTTGTATCTCTCCCTCCATCCCTCCCCCTGCTCTCCCAACCATTCCATCTCTGTCGCTCCACCCCTCTCTCTCTCTCTCTCTCTCTCTCTCTCTCTCTTTCTCTTTCTATTACATGGGGCTGTAGCCATAAATCTAAAACAAATTTTCTGTTTGAGTGATAAATGTCCTTTTTGTTTTGAAAGACAAACCATTTTTCATTGTTTTGTGGATTGTAAAATACTTTTTGGATCTTTACATTTTTTTATTTGCTTAAGTTGTTGTTTTTATTATTAATAAGGCAATGTTTGAAAGGGGTGGTCTACTACGAGTTAGCTTAGCAAAGCCTACAGCGAACAAAGTTTAGGGACAACGGAAAAATACATCGGGATTAGTGAGATCAAAAACACTTTAGGTTATGTGCATTCACCACACACATACCCCCTGCGCAGGGAAATGGCATGGCCAGTGATGCTGTAATGCTGTAATGTTATAGCAGAAAAGGTAAAATACCGTCCAAACGCTGCTACTTCCACAGAGCTTGTTCTGTTTCTGTATTTGGGCTTCCAAAGGACATGACACAAAGAGAGAAGTGCTTACAATTTCATTTTAATTATGTTCCAGAGAATTAAAAAAAAAAAAAGATATAGCTACCATTTGACAAAGTATAGCTTCCAGAATCTCTCCCAGTTCAGTGCTGGATTCGACTAAAACTCCTCAAAGAAGGAGCAGACCCAACCATAAAAGAAGAAGCTGTAGATTGTGATTTACAACCTGTAAGTGTATTTAGCTGTTAAAATTTATCCATTACATGAATAGTTTCTAGTGTAATCCGTAGTGTAGCAATGACATAAATAATCATGTAAAAAATGAAATGCTGTTTGACACCGCTAACAATTTAGCTACCCCTCACCAAAAATAATTGTAAAAAATAATTGCAGTACAAGAAGCAGTTTTTCGAAGTATAACTTCAGCAAATTTAAGTACAATTGCAAAACTGCAATACAATGAAAAATAAACACAGTTCAAGTACAGTACAAATAAGTTCAACTGCAGTATAAGTTGGAGTAAACTGGAATAAAAACAAGTACACTAAACTCTGTCTTTACTGCACTTGTGCAGCTATAGTCTAATAGTCTATAGTCTAAGAACTGAACTGTAGTTTTGTAGTTTAATGAGGTATAAACACAAGTAAAACAGCAGTAAAATCTGCGGTGCAACTGAAGTAACATTAAATAAACTAAGGGGGGCAATATAGTGATATGTTATATAATTTATTGCACTTAGGTACATAAGTATTACAGTTTTATCATATATTGCAGTATTGTAGATGTATTTCTGTAGTTAGTTATACTTCTGAAAGGTACAATACAATATATTGTGGTAGTAGGCTACTTCAACAATACAACTTAAAGAGCCCATATTATGGGTTTTTGAAAATTCCCCTCCATGTAGTGTGTAACACAGCTCTAGTTGAAGTGAAGTATCCAGCTAAGGCTTAAATCTGTAAGAATACAGTGTTTAAAACGGTTGATTCATCTAAAAAAGAGTCGACTCATAGTGCTTCAAACGAGTCGCCTTGATACCGATTCATTAGGTGTTTCGCCATGACGTACGAACGAAACCAAGTTATTCACGTGCACGCGCAAACCCGGGAGATTTAAACCTGAGGCCCCGCCCTCTGACGCAGAAACCCAGACACACCCACAAACACACGCACACCCACAAACACACGCACACAAACATGCCGGTCGATTGAAGTCACACTGCAGATGGACATTATCGATTCTCTACCCAGAGATGAAACCTCAGCATTATAACCAAGCAGTTGGAAACTTCTGGAAACTACAGGCTACAAAGAATACTTCATCTGCGTTTGTTAAAGAGCCCATATTATACATGAAATAGGGTCATATCTTGGTTGTAAGGGTCTCCAACAACAGTCTAATATGCATGCAAGGTCAAAAAACACTTTCATGGTCTTATAATCTGCATTTATTTTTACCTAATTATCCCAGCGACTCCTGTATGAATCGTCCAGTGATTCATTTGTTCCCAAACCCCTCCTTAGCGCGAAGCTAATCTGCGCTGATTGGACCGATGACAGTCTGTCGCGATTGGTCGACTGCCTTCAGTCAGAGAGTGAAATGGCCAATAGCTAATCAGCAATTTAAAAAGTAATCACAGTTCATACACGCTAGATAGTGTAGGCGTGGATTTTAGCTGCCACACACACACAAACACACACACACACCTCCGGACGAGAACGCTCCCGCTTCCTCCCGCACCCGCCAGGTTTTAGCCTTAGAACCCGCCCCGTATTCTGCCCGCCGTGCCCGATCCCGCTAAAGAGCGGGGGAGAACAAAACCGAAAATCTGTATAAACACACACACAGCACCAAGCATAAAGCGCTCGCTCGCTCTCTCTCTCTCTCTCTCTCTCTCTCTCTCTCATACGCGCGCGTGCGCACTAACACACAAGCACCAAGCAGACACATCTTTCTCTTTCTCAGGCAGCCCGCTCCCGTCCCAAATCAAACCCGTTACCGACCGCTCCGGCGATTTATTCGGAAATTTATTCCCGCGCCGCAGAAATCTGGCGCGGGGACAGCCGCGGGTATGCACACCTCTAACGTTACCACGGAGCTCCATAAACAAAGCAGCACGCGTCGCGTTTTTAACGTGACTTTGCACGCGATAAGAGAATATAGCCAGTTAACCTGATACAGTACACTCGGTTACAAGTAACAAATCACAACTAAATACATTTGCAAGCTAGAGTCAACGAGGCAACAACTTTAACCGCACGTACTTACACTTGAGAAATGGAAGAAACCCATCCTGATGTCCATCAGTAAGTTACTGATCCTTCCTTTAACAAACGCAGATGAAGTATTCTTTGTAGCATGTAGCTTCCAGAAGTTTCCAGTAGTTTCCAACTGCTTGGCTATAATGCTGAGGTTTCATCTTTGGGTAGAGACTCAATATATCCATCTGCAATGTGACTTCAATCGACCGGCATGTTTGTGTGCGTGTGTTTGTGGGTGTGTGTGTGTGTGTGTGTGTCTGGGTTACTGCGTCAGAGGGCGGGGCCTCAGGTTTGAAATCTCCCGGGTTTGCGCGTGCACGTGAAAAACTTTGTTTCGTTCGTACGTCATGGCGAAACACCTAATGAGTCGGTATCAAGGCGACTCGTTTGAAGCACTATGAATCGACTCTTTTATAGATGAATCAACAGTTTTAAACACTGTATTCTTACAGATTTAAGCCTTAGCTGGATACTTCACTTCACTTAGAGCTGTGTTACACACTACATGGAGGGGAATTTTCAAAAACCCATAATATGGGCTCTTTAAAGTAAGGATCAGTAAAGAATAACTTACTAATGGACGTCAGGATGAGTTTCTTCCTCCATTTCTCAAATGTAAGTACGTGCGATTAAAGTTGCCTCGTTGACTCTAGCTTGCAAATGTATTTAGTTGTGATTTGTTACTTGTAACCGAGTGTACTGTATCAGGTTAACTGGCTATATTCTCTTATCGCGTGCAAAGTCACGTTAAAAACGCGACGCGTGCTGTTTGTTTACGGAGCTCCATGGTAGAGGTCTGCATTCCCGCGGCTGTCCCCGCGCCAGATTTCTGCGGCACGGGAATAAATTTCCGAATCAATCGCGGGAGCGGTCGGTAACAGGTTTAATTTGGGACGGGAGCGGGCTGTCTAGCAATATCGTGGATATTGCTATGCGAATGAGACAGAGCTTTGCCTGCCTCTGTGTCTGCTTGGCGCTTGTGTGTATGTGTTAGTGCGCGCGTATAAGAGAGAGAGAGAGAGAGAGAGAGACTGGACTCTGGACTGTTTTGCTGGGTGATTTTCGGTTATGTTCTCCCCCGCTCTTTAGCGGGATCGGGCGCGGTGGGCAGAAAACGGGGCGGTTCGGGCACCGGGACAAGAAATTCTAAATATAAGCGGGAGCGGTCGGGTTCAGGCTAAAACCTGGTGGGTGCGGGCGGAAGCGGGAGCGTTGTCGTCCAGAGGTGTGTGTGTGTTTGTGTGTGTGTGTGGCAGCTAAAATCCATGCCTACACTATGGAGCGCGTATGAACTGTGATTACTTTTATATTGCTGATTAGCTATTGGGCATTTCATTCTCTGACTGAAGGCAGTCGACCAATCGTGACAGACTGTCATCGGTCCAATCAGCGCATATTAGCTTCGCGCTAAGGAGGGGTTTGGGAACAAATGAATCACTGGACGATTCATACAGGAATCGCTGGGATAATTAGGTAAAAATAAATGCAGATTATAAGACCATGAAAGTGTTTTTTGACTTTGCATGCATATTAGACTGTTGTTGGAGACCCTTACAACCAAGATATGACCCTATTTCATGTATAATATGGGCTCTTTAAGTACTGAAACCTCATTTGGAAACCATTGTCCACCGAGCAGGAAAAGTACTAGTTGTACTGCAGTTGTATTGTAGAAGTACTTCAGTTGTATTGCAGTAACAGTACTGCATTATAGTAGTTGTAGTACTTCAGTACTGTTGGAGTAGTTGTACTGCATTTGTACGGTAGTAGTACTTCAGTTGTATTGTAGTAGATGTACTGCAGCACTTCAGTTGTATTGCAGTAATACTACAATATATTTAAATAACAGTTTTTTTTTTCGTGTCAAAAAAACTGCACTATTCAGAAGTTAATTAAAACTGCAGTATTTCTTTAAAAACTGCAATATTCTTTTTAAAAAAAACTGCAGTAAGTTTTTGTAAGGGACAAATTCATATGTATCCATCGAACCCCTGTAAACACCCACAATCTTCACCAGCACTGCATTGTCTCTCTCCTTGCGGCTGCTTTCTGTGCTAACAAACTCACAAAAGATATGTGAAAATGTCATATTACTTACACATGCTTATTCCGAGTATATTTGAAAGACACCTGTCAAATTTTATTTTAGAGAGCAGGTATGAGGTTCAGCTGTGTCCTTTTTATTTTCTTTATTTTCTGATTCAGGCTCAAACTGATAGGGC